ACTAAATCAGGTGTGATTACTTTCTTTTCCTATGGAAGTGTGCGGTGCTACCTTATAACTTTGTGATACTGCTGTAGATTAAAAATCACCTGCTGATCTAGAGACAAAAGATCAAATCGATTTTAATCAGCTATGGCACTCCCTACACAGCAAATCAGTAGAAGCTGCTAAGATTCCAGCCAACTAAGTACAGGCAAACTCACTTGATTTCATTTCAAAGGGTTCAAAGTCTAAGTAAGGAGAAAAATTATATTTTATTCTGCATCATGTTTAAAGAAAGACAAGGAAGTACAAGGAAGCTGTGCAGGTTGCAAACATGAGAGGCTGAAGAGAAAAAATCTAAAAAAAAATAATAGTGTATTAAAGAAACTACTTGCAAGTTTTCATTAATTGTAGTCTAGCTTTGAAGAAGAGGAAGAACAGCAAGTATTGTAGGTTCTCAGTCAAGTTATTTAGGTACAGAATCCAAACCAGTTGCATTTTTTTAGCAAATATAACCACAAAGAAGACTTACAAAGGCAGCTGATGCCTAAAAGTAGTAAAAGGGCCAACAAAGGAAAGACAGGGAGATAACTTTAAGAATTGCCTACCTCAAAAAAATTAGGGTGTGGGCCCCTGTATACTGGGACTGTGCCTTAGACACTGGAAGTAATGCTCTTGCTGTTTCCCAAAGCACAGCATCACCTTGCCTCTCCTACAGCAGCAAGAAGTCTCCCTACAGATGGACTGCAGTTTCAGCCTCATGTGATGTCTTATATTTTAAATTTCACTAGTCTGCTAAATAATGAGTGGGTCCTGATATGTTTCTCCTGGATTATAACAGCAATAATGTACAAAGCAAAACCATGTTCTCTTACAGCTCCGTACCCTTCAAACCTAAACTGAGTAAAAAGAACAAATAAGGTTGAATTATTTCCTTTAATGTAACTGATATTTTCTGTGGATCAGAAGCATGGTTAGAAACATTTCTAACACCAACTTTTCATCATTTAGAAAACTGTAAGGAAGGCCTCCCCGGGACAAACTGGAAATTCTGATGAACAGGTTTCAGTATGGAGCAGCTGACACATGGAATCAAACCAGGATTTAGCATTCATGGGTAGGATGTACAATCACCAAAAGCATACCTGAGCAAAAAGGGGGAGCCAATCCCACCAGACTTCAGGCTGTGCCAACAGAAATAGTGACATACGCCCATATGTTATTATTATATGTTATGTCCATATAACATAACATATGCCAACATAACACAGGATGAGGAAGTGTGTTTTCCCTCCTTCTGTCACACACCAGCATAGCTTTGATAAGAAAGCTGTGGGTATATATCTTCCCATGGTTACACTAAAGAGAATTTGTCTCTGCCTGATCACGTCTTACAAAGTCTACCGCAATGGATTCTCACCCTGGCAATTATCAATGAGTGCACATGCAATCACCTTCTTTTTGCAAGTAGGCTGGAAAAATTCCTACGCAGCATTTGATTGGGTAAGCCCTTAAACATTTCTTTTGTATGGAAAAGGAAAGAATCCAGCAGAAAAAATCCCAAACATCTCATGGAAATGCAATTCCTCTCCCGTCTTAACAACACCAATTCTCCCCATCAGTGCCACAAGCAATATCTACTTTTGCATTTTTACTTCCCCTATAACTTCAGAAATATCTCATGAATACCACCCAAAGTAAAACTGAAACACATCACAAATCTTATCTGCCAGTTCCTCTGGCAGCTCTGCTGCTCCCAGTACTGGTGCCACACAGAGAAGGCAAGAAGGTGAAGAAAAAAGGTTACGCAGGAAAAGCTTCAAGAAAATACCTAGCTTGCCAGTTCCCCTTGCAAACAAAAATAGCTATCAAAGGTGAAACCTGCTTTGTACAATACACAGGAAGAAAATAAACACTATAGAAAGGACATGTGCTGCAGATTAGCAGGAGCAGAAATTCCCATCAACACTGTGAACTGGCTAGGATCACTAGTGAAAAAGAAAAACAATCTTCTAGGAAAAGCAAAAAAACCTAACAACATGGTTAAAGCTAAAGTGAAGAGAAATAATGCTTCCTATCAGTGCAACACACTTGCAACTCAGGGGAGCAGCAGAGAAGAGAAGCCACATTTGCCCCCCATCCACAGAAAATTCTGATCCTGAGAACAAATTTGCCACATACTACAAATATAATAAGTGTCATCTGCACCATGTGATGCTGCCAGAGATACTGACGGTCTCAGCAAGTTTCTGGATTTGATGTATCAGGAATTGAGTTGCCACAGATGCACACGGAAAGGACAAACCTGAAAGGAGGGGTTAGGATTGGCACAGGCAACTTGGGTTAAATTTGTGCAATGCTAAAAATCAGGCTGACATTTTTGTTTAGGTTCCCCCTCTCCCTGCCCTCGCGAGCTCCCATTATTAAAGAGTGAAGAACAATGTCAGATCTCACACAGAGTCAGCGCGGCATGACACAGGAAGTCTGCACTAAAGTGATTTTATGGATATATGATTTCAAATGAGATCAAAACTTCCCCCACGACTGCAGCTCTTCTGCTTCCAAGGTTTTCCCAAATTCTGGGGTTTATTGACATATACCTAAGGACTTCTTTTTTTAACTAAATAGAAAATTGAAGTGTTCTGTATCTGTCATATACAGACAGAGTAGAATATGGGACATTGCTCTGGGTACCCAGACAGTCGGGAATCAGAGAAGCTCTGCAGCTGAGGCTGGAGCAACAAGAGGGATTTTGCATTCCCGTTATCTCCTATGCAGTCAGCTCTTGGCCATAGAAAACCTAAAGTTGTGCTTTAATTGGGGATTTAATCTGGAGAGATTTAACTACATGAAATCCCTGTAGAGGAGGATCTTCCCTGGCACCTCCCACAGGAAATGAGTGTTTGGAGTTATATGTCTCTGGTCATATTAGCAGTACAATTTGGCTATCAGTTGCAAGGATATTTAGGGGACTTATCAGATTGTAAAATACTAAAGTGTGATGACTATACAGCAAGTATAGTGGCCAGTCATCTGTGGCTTGCCAGACAGAAACTTTGAGTCACAAAAGCAGGGGCTGTTAGCCAGTGAGCCGGTGTGCCCATCTCCAGCCCATTAAAGGATCTGCCACAGCAGAACTGGGCTGCAGCACTGCTGCACCTTCACTTTCAGTGAGGCACACCAGTCAGAAGCTGTTCATCTCGTCCACCGTGTATTAACTTGGTGCTTATGTGACACAGGAGCTTTCATAAATTGTTCAGTGAGGGATTTTGGCAATGGTTTCATATTACAAAGCTTCTTTTTATATCCCCTGTTGCCTTTTCCAGGCCCTACCACCCATTCCTTACAACTATTAATAAAGTATCCCTTCCTCCAGCTGTCAAACCAGTCTGTTTTTAAGCTATTGTTGCACTTCTAACAATTAAGACTTCACAGCTTATGCTGCTTTTTTCCCTCTTAATGCAAAGTGCATTTTTAAAGGAGCTATATCAGCTGACGTCATGTCCTAAAAATAGGCAATCAAAAAACTAGAACCTAATTAAATGCTTCCAGGACCTTTTTTTTTTATTTTTTCAGTTCAACTCAAGTATTTCTCATAAATGCAGTTCCTTCAGCAACACAAATTGTACTTCTCTGTATCAGCAGGAAGGAATTTGAGGGGAAAGTTAATTCTAAGCCAAGTATCCTGACAGAACCAGTGTTCATGCTGTCCTTTTAGAAGGCATGTCCTCTTGCTACCCCTGCATTGGGTAGATTCACCCACACAATGGACAGAGAAATGGAATACATATGCTTTATAATAAATATCCACTGTAGCTGTTATGCCTATTCCACATATGGTACATTCAGCACTGATCTCACCACTGTCTTACCAGAAGACTGCATCTAAATCTTCAGTAAAACTCTAGGGCAATTAGGAGGTTGCTGCCTTGAGAAGCTGAACTTGGAACAGAGACTAGACAGAGGTAAGAGAATAAAATAGGTATCTATTAAAAGGAGACACCTTGGGCCGCACAAGAGCCTGGCCAGGGCTACACCCAAGATGGACCTGAAAGGGTCACAAAATGGACCACTGGTCAAAAGGCCTCACACTTTTATAAGTTTTGGTCCATTTGCATATTGGGGTTAATTGTCCAATTACAGCTTCAGGTTATGAAGTCCCATCCTCCTTGTTTGCTCCCCTCAGGTCTTCTTTGTTTATACTTTTGGACCTGAAGCTTCTAATGGTTGTCCTTGGTCTCAAGCTGGAAAGGGATTGTTTTGTCTAACTACCCTGTGAAGGGAGCTTACTGACACCTGATGTGAAGCTCAGAGCTACACACCTAAGCAGCAGAGAATCTGACAAATATGAAAGTTAAAACTTAAGGCATCAAGGTTAGGGAAGAGAAATGGAGAGACAGGGTAATGTCACCACTCAGCTTCACTTCCTTAAGCCTGGATCACAGCCAGGTACATATTCCAGTTTCCAGGACAACAGTACCCAAATCTTGTCAGCTTGATTCAGAAAACCAAATATCAGACACCAACACAATGAGAAATGAACAAGAATTTTGTTCACACCCATTTTTTCTTCTTTTTTCTTTCCATGTCATGTTGACAAACCACACAAACAACTGAGTTTCCCTACTCTGAAATTTCTCTAGTTTGGACCCTTAAAAAATTGAGGTGCTCAAAATAAACAATCACTTTTAATATCTTGGCCTATATCCCAGTATGGAGTGAATCTAATCACGTACACAGCAACCTTCAAACTACACAAGTATGAAGCCCCAGAACAATAAAACTGTAAAAGGCATAATGGAAACGAAAACCAGTATGACACAGCAACTAAAATCATGCAGCTTTCACTTATCTATTTAAATTGTAATTGGTCCTACTTGGTATGCTAGTCCCTGCCATTAATAAAAACCCCATTAGTTTTCCCTTCCTTGAAAAGCAGCCCAAAGCACAGTTCTCATACCATCAAGTTTAAACTACGTGCAGTAAGAGCAAAGCTCCATGTTATGTTTTACCTGTGCTGTTTCCTCTTCCTTACTGAATATCTGAAGTGAAGGTATCCCATATTTCTCTTATTCACTGCTAACTGTTCTTTTTCGTGTTGACTCAGCCTTTCAGAAGAGTTGTTACCTCTGCAGTTCTGGTATCATTTTTATTTAATGATAACATAAAGCTGTACAAAAGGTATATACTTGATTAGTATTATTCTTTTATCTAAGAATACTCATTCACAAAACCAAAATGCATGGCCAGAAGTAACAGGAAGCATCAGTTCTTGAACAATAAAACCACTGAAAGAAAAAGTTTTACAAGCCAGCTCTGGTGCACAGACCACAATGTAAAAACTGCTAGATTAAACTATTTTCATTGTCTAGGATGGAAAAAGGATGAGACAAAGAAAGAATAAAATTAATCCTTGTACAACCTTATCATAATTAGAGCTGAAAAAAATATGGAAATGTAATCTTATAAAAAACATTTTTATTCAACATTTTTTTCCTAACTTGGGATGATTAAGTAAATATCAGCTGTTTTGTTGGGATTTTTTTAAAGAATTTTTTTTAAAGAATTTTTTAAAGAATAAGAAATAAAACTTTGGGTTTATTTTGGGAAGACATTCGAATTTTTAGTATTCATGAATTGAAAAATATTGTTTCAATTTGCTGGGCTCTTTCACTATTGCATTTCTCATGAGACCCACAGGAGTAACTGTCTGCATCCTTCATCCTCTTCTGTGGGACAATGGCTGCCATAATGTACCAAGCTTCTCAAAGAAAACCTCATGATTCTGAGTCTTAGTGGCAAATACCAGCTGGCAAGCAAGCTCAGACCAGCAGAAACTGGGAGCAATAGGCATGCAAAAAATAAATTCACTAGAGAAATACACCACAAAAGGGAAACACACAATTTACTCAAAACTAAATAGTCCTATAATGGAAGGCTTCATTTTCTTTTCTAAAAGAAAAATAAAAGAGCACAATGTTAAAAAAATTAACTTATTTCCATAATGTGTTAATTTTTCAGAAGTTGTTTTAGAACATCGTCCTGCTGGCAAATTCCTGCTCTGTCTAAATCTGTCCCTTTTAATCCCTGGTATTTTATATTCCCTAAAGATAATTCTGTTGTCAAAATTATCCTTGAATACCATGCAAAAAGCAGGTTAGGGCACAACTGGTAAAGAAGCTATAGCAATATATTTCTTAAAGTCTGTTCAAGAAATTCTCTGTGTTAGGGTTAGTATATAAAGCTTAGACTTCTGAACATTTAGGTATCACAATGCCATTGTAATTCAGGGAGGGAGGCCAGTTTGCTAATTAAAATATACAGAACTGGGCAAAACATTGCCTAACTTCTTTTCCTAGCTCTGCCACTGACCTACTGTAGCCTTGCTGAAGTAATTTTAACTATATTCGAAAGCTCTATTAGGATATCTATCTTCTTTCACAAGATGCACAAGATGTAACTCAAGTCTATGCAATAACCAAAGAAATCCAGTCAGAAATCTACTAGAAAAAATGGAAACAAATACCAAAAATGCATATTTGATGCTGTTCTCTAACCCTGTGTTTGATTAAATAACATGCCTTTCTCCTTGCAGTTGATTGAGTGGTTCTTGCCTCACACTGTAGGAGTTTTATCATATTGGAATTGGTTTCCCCAGCATGATTTATCATTATTTTATTTTTAAATCAATTTTTTTATTAGAAAGATAAAATAATCTCATGAGAGTAACTTTCAAAGCAAGTATTCCTCTTGGGTTTTCTGAGGTATTTTCTTCATCCAGACCCGACCGCTGCAGGCTTCCACATAACACAGGACCTGAGGAGAACAAGAGAGGAAACAGTTTACACTCTCAAAATGCCCACAGTAGTCTCAGACAACTTGGAGGCCTATCAAGGCTCAGGGCCACTGTATTTTATGGTCAGACAAGAATGCAGCTTGAAGTTGGGCAGGAAACAAGTGTCACGAGCCCAAACCACAGATTGCACGCCTGCCTTCACCATCCAACTCACCCAGGGTTGAAATCTGGGAGACACCAGTTGGGAGAGCCCACAACAGCACTTCCAAGGCACAAGCTGTGCTGTCCATGGGCAAAAGGAAGGCAGGATCTCTGAGTGCCAGGATACAAAAGGAGCCTGTATGCATGAGAGCTCTTATCACTGGCAGGCTCTAGGACTCACAAAGTCAGAGCAACCAAGCCCAAAATACATATATATGCAAAACAAGCCGCAAACTTTCCACCCTGATGAAAGCACAATGAGGAAAATCTTTCCGACAGATTCACAGCTGGTTTCAATCTACAGCCTAAGCATATCTAATGGGTCTCTTTTATCAGAGGAGCTCTCATAGGGCTCTGGCTGCTACTGAGGGCAGTGTGCCACTGTGCAGACCCTCAACAAAAGTCTGAGAGGACACTGTGTACTCCCTACACGAACTGAGGCATGGGGTAATAGAGACCATCTGCTCCAAATTCTGGCCCTACTTGCACCTTTATTAATCCATTCCAGCTCCTAAGATCTTACTCCAGCTAATGTAGCTGCCCATATGAAAGTATCAGAAAAACGCAAAACATTCCTCTCAAAAATCTTACCTTTTGTAACGGTTTCAGAAGTAAATTAAAGGATTCTACCCATGTGAACACAACACATAGTCTCAAACCCTCCTAGGTGAAACTCTGGCTTCTCTAGAGACAGAAGAATTTTCTGCTAGGAGAGGCTTAAGAGAAGCTACCACATTCAGTAAAATGCAAGACTTTTACCTTCTACAAACTACTAAAAGAGAAAAAAGTTCAAAACATCACATCCACTTATGAAAATTTGCAAGCTAGGGACTTGATGAGAAGTTATTGTAGGCACATCATGTTGTAAGTAAAAAGTACTTCAAATATATATTACTTTATTTTTCCCCCTGTGGTTTACATATTTGCCATGGGACAATGGAAGTTTATAGAGAAGGGAGAGATGTCTGTGATTAAGGCGGCTTTCAGCTCTTCTTCCTACTGATACCCTGTGGATATTGCTGTATTCTCCAGAATCCAAGCTTCCACTTAAAAAACAATGAAGTTTCTAGTCCATCTGGGTTTGCGGAAGCAGAATGTAAACAGATGTACTGTTGTCTTATTTTAGAAGCTATAGCAAGCCAGACTGAAACAATAGCACTAAGAAATGTCAACTGCTCCCATTCATCTCAGTGGGGTGGGGTGTTAACTTTGAAGCCTAATTGTGACCACTTTAAAGTCAGCCTTTTAACCATTTCACTGCTATTACTACATCAGAAACTCCAAAGTAATGAACTTACCCAGCCTCTGTGTTTGTATGCATTACTCCCAGACCTTCCATTCACTTTAAAAGAACACTGCATTACAATCGAGCTAGTTTGAATATTCCTTTACTTAAGAAGTTAGCAGAATTGTTTGCTACTGTCTTTCAAAATTAGGGTTAAAAGAAAGTCAAGGGTGAAAGGGTAGCTTCATTGTTGTTGCTCTCAATAGTGCAACACGTGGGATTTCATGCTTTTTCTTTGATCAGGGTAGCAGATCATTTCAATAAACAGACAAACAGCTACATACAAAACTAAAAATAATGACTAAACAAATAACACTGCACCATCAATCAGGAGTAAAAAAACGAAAAAGACATCCTAATGATGTGGTAGCATATACTTGCAAGAATAAAAAAAGGCGAAAGAGGAAAAGGGTCTTCATTATCAGAAAGTTATACTTGCCATCACTTTAAATCCAAGGTGTATTAGCCCTGGTTTGAGTACACAGAGAAGCTGCCCTGTTAAAGTTATTTTACATCCCATTTCCAAGAAGCTGTTGCATTCTTCATCAGTGGTCACTCTGAAGCCTGCATGTGAATTTTCTTCTGGGACCACCAGTTGGAGACTAGTAGCTCTACACACACATTTTTGCAAACATCACTTCAGATGCTCTGAGAACTCATGCTGAAAATTATTAGGGCAAGCTACTCTACTCTAGCTTATGTTTCTGAGCATCCAGAATTGTGCTGACGTGAAGAGTCACAGGAGTCATGGCACTGCAGGGCATGATGGAGATGCCTGGCTGGGTTTGGTGGGACTGTTTGCCCCACACCTCCTGTCTCTGCTCAACCAGCCCTCCTGTCCACCTGCACCACAGGACATCTCTGAGTGCCTGCCCACTGTGTCTGCCACAGGTCATGGGTGACACAGGACCGCTGCAGAGCAATATATGCACTGAATTGGTACTTCTACAGTTACAATCCTGACAATCCTTTTCACCTGTCATTTTCTTCCTAATATAACAGATATTAGGATGAGAAGTCAATACTAACATCACCACTGCACTACTCTGGTCATCACTATTATATCCATGCTAGGTACCCTAACCAGGTAATCCTGACATGTCTCAAGATGCCTCCATTGCAGCTACAGACACTGGCTCACGGGAAGTAAAACAGGAAGGGCAGTACCTCAGCTGCATGACAGAGCAATGGGAATAGCATCACCCAACAAAAGACCTTGAACAAGCAGCTCGGACAGGAGTAACCTCTCTAGGTCACAAGGCAGCAACTGGAAGAAAGTGAAGTGCATAAGCCATACTATATTTTTTGAAAAATAACTGCTTGAGCACACATTCTCACTCCTAAATAAAACTGTCTTTACTTGGGAAGGTCTTGAATTTATATGAGTGCCTACATGTGGTAAAGGAATAAGGTTCTTTTGGTAGAAGGGGGAAAATTTTCCTGCCTACACAATGCCTAGGTGTTTGTGCAAACAAAGGCCTAATTCATCCAATGCAGGTTCTTTTGCCTGCTACAACAGACAATACCCTGACATTATTATATAGGAAGTTATGAACACACAATCCTTCCATGTGTAAATTCCACTGTTAGCTGGACGTTAGGGTGTTTGAAATTTGCCCTGACTGCTAAAATCACCAGATACACACCCCACCGTTGTCAAATATCAGTGTTTCCTAAGTCTTGATCTCTAAACTGCAACATAGGATTTGTAAAATTCTCTTGACATAAAGCTGAAAATAAACCTCTGCTTTCACTTAAAAACCTGTGTGCTTCACAGTTTTTTAAAACTGACTTCACATACATAAGGCCTGCTATGGAAAGACAGACACCTTCATTTTCTATTAACTTCAATCAGCTGTAGTAAGGTGATTGGTTTCTGCAGAAGGTGCTGAATAAGATCACATATAAATTCACAGAATTATCTGAGTGCTGTTGAACATGTTTTCTGCAGATGCTTAGAGGTGCAGAACAAAGGCAGCTGAAAACAGTCTTGGTAAGTTTACAATTTTACTTTATCACTGTATTAAATTCCCATTCAACATCCATAAGGCACCACACTCTTGTTATAGAAAAAAATAAACAGCCTCATAAAAACTAGACTTGCCAGTCTTTGCTCTGCCATGCATCCCTCTTCTTTTCAACAGCGAGCAAGTAAAACAACTCCCTGACAGCTGGATGTGTAGAAGTCTGTGCTGGCAGTGTCCTGGTCCAAAGTAACACTGCAGGCTGGAATGCTGACGTTGGCAGGGCTGCCACCGCGTTTACTTAACACTCATTTCTCTCAGTCTGCTTCAGACCAGAAATGCAGGCAATGAAAACCTATCCAGCCTTTGAGAACCCCGGCCATAGCGGTTTAGCAGAGCAGGGTTTGTGCAGGTACATGAAAGAGGCATTCAGAAGACACTCCCATTCAAGGGAGGCAGAAAGAGAGCCCCAAGCTGTCTCTGGTTACCTTTTATTGGCATGAAAAGAAGGAGGCAGGAGGGGCAAGGTTTCAGGACAAATGAAAAACAAGCTTTCTAAGATTCACTGTTCAACCTCAGAACAAAAGCTCAGCAAATTTAAGCTACAGGATCTTAGTTCCATTTCTTTCAATTTAGTAATTTATTACAGAGAAGAGAATGAAAAACCTGCTTCAAATAGTGGATTAAACATTACCCTGAAAGAGAACTAAAGAGAAAAAAAATATATATATATATATTGTGAATTCAGTTAATTTCTTGGGCAAAAACCATACATTATGAATTCAGGTAGTTTCCTAGAGAAATAAAAAGCAAATTGGCAAACACGTGAGAAAGTGTACCATGTTAGTAGGTATCCAAGGCTCCTTGGCTAAAAACATTTACATCATGATGAAAGCTGGACAAAACAGCTGTCACAGAAGCATTATTAAGGGTATAATCTGTAAACACTCACCACCCAAATTAAACCAAGATCTGTTGAGATGGACGAGAAATGCCTCATTTTGGAAGGCAGGCCCAATGGCCTTCTAGAGGAAGCCAGCCCAGGGCAGCATGAGGGTGTGGGGGCTCTGGCAGGAGTGTCACTCCCTGGAGCCACCAGCAGCTGGGGTGGAGGAATGCTGGCCAGCAAACACCCCCACCCCTCAGCCAACAGGGGCAGACAGCCTGCAAAGCCCTGCACTGTCCCAAATTTGCTGCAAGCTTGAAGAAAACCCAGTTTTGTGTCTTGCATGACATGGCAGACTCTTCCCCAGGCACGGTGGATGCCCAGATTAGTTCTGGGTTTGCTGTATGGAGCACCTTAGAGAGAAGATGAATGGGCCAGAGCTTCCTCACAGCAGCTTCCCCTTAGAAAACCCAGTGCCCCCAAGCACCCACATGCAGTTTGTACCACAAGCTGTGCTGCATAAGGGCACAGTATGGGGACCCTGCATGGTATGGGATGGCTGCAGGGACCCTTCCTGCAGGCCAAAACACAGTCCTCTATAGCAAAGGTCAGCACACCTGCTCATGAGGGATGAAGAGAGAAGTCTTAGTGCTGCATCCAAGTCCTTCTCATTCCATGGGTACAGCAGAGATTTCCTCCTTCAAAGGAAATGTAAGGTCTGCAGAAAACAAGAGGTGAGGACCATGGAAGTATAGATTTAGTGACCAATAAATATGTTCAACAATTAAACAGGCTGTCATTTGCAAAAAGACAAATAATAACCATAATACCTAATATTTACACAATTCTCTATACAAACCTATTGTTTTTCTGTAGAGTGTACAAATATTACCTAACCAGTCACCTGAGGACACATGGTCAAAGCTTTGGCTTCTTGATGAACTGCAGAAGTCTTTTAAAGTGTGACCACATGCTCCAAAGTTTGTTGTGTTGAATCTAGGCAACACATGTTTAGGTACACTTGTGTAAATACCTTGAGATAACTCAGAGCCCTTTATAAATTTAGGTGGCCTTCATGACAACTAAATATAGGTGGGTCAGTGAGACCTGAAAAAATTATACATATGAGGTTAGGAGCAACTTCAATAATTTTTCAAAGACCAGTAATTTACATCTAGGTTATAAGTTTTTGCTTAATGTTTCAATTTCATGATATGTCTCTAAGGTGTTATCTACCCAGAAAATAAACTACCTGGTTGAAGCAATGATCTGGATAGCATGCTAGCTATCACTTTGATACACAATGAGACAGAAAACCAGGAAGGATTTATCTGGAATTAATTTGGCAGTACCGTAGAATTTCCTGCAAGGGAAAATATGCAGTTGTTTATGCAATTTCTTAATTCTTTGAAGAGGTGAAATGCATAATTTAGAAAAAGTTTTTAGACACAAGAAGAAAAATATTTTACTCATTACAGTAACTTCTTTTTTATAGATCATTCTTTTAGTCTCTTAACGTATCTTGAAATAAACATGGACTGCCAAATATTTTAATCAGAGTACTTCTGGTCTGTAATCTCTTTGATACAGATCCTGTCTTAATAAATCATTTCACAGTCTTGAAGAACCATTAGAAGTAAACTACAGCATTTGCAGTTGTAGTATAAAGTTACTTGGCATTCCCGTAGGTGAGAGACTAGAAACAATGGTCAAAATTCAATATTAATACCTGAATATTGAAAAATTAGTGCATAAGTACTTGATTCCTGTCGCTTTTCAAGCCATGCTACTGGAGCTGAACTTAAAACCTGACATTAAATGTTATGAGAGAATATAAGGTGCATTCCTAGAGAATATAAGGTGCATTCCTAGAGAAACCTGACTGAAGGCAACAGGAATCATCCCAGCAACATGAATAGGATTTGGTCAAACCCTGTGTTAAATGCACTCTGAGGAGGGAGAAAAGAAGCAACAGGATTTTAATCTCTTAGGCTCAACAGCAGGATTAATTATTTTGCCTCAGATCTTTCACACACCAAATACATTTTGGATGCTATGTTAGAGATAAATCAGTATTAGTCTTATTTTGCTAAAAAGAACATTTACTGGCAGCATCTTTTCATCTCTTCTCAGATTTTATGTTGGGGGCAAATCTTGGAGGTGGGAGAGTAAATACTCTAGCAGGCATCTGCTAAACATAATGCAGTTGTACTCTGTTATTAAAACCATACTCTTTCAAGTGTTTTTCATGGCATTCATTTTCTATGCAACATTCTGCTTTACTAGTATCCCAATATGACCCTAATCAATTTTTCATCCTGGTCATCTTTGCCTACCTCACCTCTCACTTGCAGAGTCCTTTTAGCACTTCAGTGGGCAAGTTACACTTCCCTTTCTGTTTTAACTTTGTTTTATTGTATGTCAGTCCCTCGTGGAGAATGGACACTGCACCTGCACCTGAGCTCCCACCCACATAACCAACACTGGCAGAGTGTTTAGGAGATTGTTCTGGTTCACATTTCTGTTACGGTGCCAAGTTCAGTTCTGTCATGTGCTACTCAGCTCCTCCTGTTTTCTCCTTGATCGCTTGCTCTTCCCTTCTTCTCCTGAACCACCCCACTTTCCAGAGCAAAAAAAAAGGAGCTGCTCACACTGGACATGGCCAGAGCCTGCCCAGAGTATGCTCCAAGTGTGGCCCCACGCTACTACAATCTCATCAGCACTAACTTGGAAGTCCTACCCATTTCTGGGGAAAGCCTGCTGTTCACATATCACATTGGCTCAGAAGAGAAGTAGCAGTCTTTGAAGGGATTTAGCTGTGTTCAAAATGAAGTATTTTTTTCCCACTTATACATATGAACAGCTGCACCCCAGTTTTATCATCCCCACTACCCAGGGCAGGAGAACAAACAGAAAGCTTTCCAGGAGTGGTCTTCAACAAAAATAGCAGAAGTGACTTCAAAGCCACCCAGGAAGACCCAACCTTCCCAAAAACTGGAATAATGAAAAAGAACAATCCTGGTGACAATATTATTTGCTAGTGAACAGATCCAAGCTTTGTGTGACTTACAACATGTAGTAGTAAATGCAAGAAATTGCAGGATCTCACTTGCAGGAAACACCAACCAAAAAATTTAGTACTAAATACGATTAGAAAACACTAAAGAATTTGAAAGCTTTGCTTCAGATATCACCATCATTAATTACTGATTGCACGGGAAATTCACATGACAAGCTTGTTAGGAAGGTTTTGTAACCTGTTTCCAAATGAACTGTAATAAAGTGTCAAGAAAAAGTTTGAAATAATGAAATAAATCAAGTCACCCTGATTTACATCAGTATTTACCCATCATGAGATGGTTGGTATTTAGATGTTTTAGAAGCTAGATGTTTAGAAATGTTTAGAAATTTTAGTAAGTATTTTACTGACTCACTTCTTCAGGGCATTTCTGTCAGAAAGAGACCTTGAGAAGGAGACAATACACATATTTTAGAGGAGCATGCAAAGATAGTTGCAAGAGAGGCACAGAAATAGACATTAATGAGCAAGATTAATGAAAATTTAGATATCATCTGTTGTTTATCCAAATTTGCCTTTGGTTTAGAAACTTGGCTTATGAGAACATGTGCTATCTGTCTAACCAGGCATAACCACCAAAGTCTCTCATTCTACCTTGACTCCTTCTGTTCTTTTCCTGTATTTCAATGCTAGGTTGTACATGAATAGAAAATTATTACTATGTTTTTACAATTCTTGGGAGTTCCAGAAATACGTCCCAGGTTGGGGAAATCCGTTTCTCTGGACACACTTACTCAGCATCACTACAATCCACTATAAATATACTACTTGCACTTTAAGCTGTTGCCACTGCCTCACAAAGCAGACTGAAATTTTGTACACAACTTTGACTCCTATGAAGCAAACATAAGTTTCACAAAAAATTCCCTTCCTACCACTGAGAGAGAATGACCTATGAAATTCATACTGCACAAAACCAGAACAAAACACTTTGGAAGAGGAAGCTACTATTTGATGCTACAGGGGAAAGAAGGCATAACTTAACTTGTTCAAAGCACTTGGATGGAGCACCTTATTCTTATCACTTATCCCATGTAACAGAGCTCATCCAATTGATCTTTATTTGGATAAGTAACTTTGATGACCTCCTGGTCATTAAAGTGTTTTTCCCTTCTATCTGTCATTATACAGACTGAAGATTACAAAGTTTTATTAAGTCCTTGGGAAGGGGTTTTCCTAACAAGCTTTAAAAAAAAAACCAAAGTATTTCATCATTCAAAGAAAGTGCAGATAATTTTCATGAAGATTTTGTCTACTTTCCAGAGTTGTGGCTTTTTAATTTCTGCAAGGTAATACAAGCAAGATCAGTTTCTGGGAAAACAGCTGAAAATATTGTGAATAGAAACAGAGAATAATAGAATAACTGAGTTCAAAGGAACCCATCAGGATCATCGAATCCAACTCCTGGCCCTGCACAGGACACCCCAAGAATCACATCATGTACATGAGAGCATTGTCCAAATGCTTCTTGAACTCTGTCAGGTTTGGTGCTGTGACCACTTCCTGGGGAGCCTCTTCCAGTGCCCAGCCACTCTCTAGGAGAAAATTTTTTTCCTGATAGCCAACCTAAACCTCTCCTGACACAACTTCGTGCCGTTTCCTTGAGCCCTATAACTGCTCACCACAGAGAAGACATCAGTGTCTGCCCCTCCTCTTCCCCTCATGAGAAGTTGTAACTGCAATGAGGTCTCCCCTAGTCTTCTCCAGGCTGAACAGACCAAGTGACCTCAGCCACTCCTCATATGGCTTCCCCTCAAGGACTTTCACAATTCTCTTGTCCCTCCTTTGGACACTCTGTAATAGTTTAATGTGTTTTTCAGACTGCAGTGACCAGAAGTGCCCCCAGAACTCAAGGTGAGGCTGCCCCAGTACAGAGCAGAGCAGGACAATCCCCTCCCTTGCCCAGCTGCAATGCTGTGCCTGATGCACCCCAGGACAGGTATGGCCTTCCTGGCTGCCAGGGCACTGCTGACTCAGATTCAGTACAAAACTTAAGGGAGGTAACATGGAGGAAGTCAGGAGGTTGAGCTGCACTCAGGATTGTGCATTACTTTACAGACATTGCTGTGTTACAGCTAGCAACCAAGATAGAGCCTGTATGGTTTCTATCATATTGTTGTCCAAAACAACACCAGAAGATAAAAAGACACAGCTGTGAAGTACACTGGGATGTGGTTTCAGAAAAATAACTCCAGTTTCATATCTCAGTTGGGTCATGCTCACACAACAGGAATGAACATTTTGTAATTGCATCGACCGAACAGGACTTGTACAAACAAGACCTGATTAAGTTTTGTCTTCCAGTTTCCAATGTTCAACTGCAGCTTTTTCTAAGAATTTCCTATTCCTGGAAATTATGAATTTTTCATGAGTCCTCTGATGAACTGTGAACACATAATGGAAGATTAGGTGATTGAAATTAATTCTTGTGTCCAGTTTTGAACTTAATTAGCTTGGTTTCAAACACTGAATTGTAAATGTACTGAGAGTATGCTACTCCAAACACTAATTGTACTATTTCTAAATTGTTCTAGGACATTTTTGTGTGTTCATATACCTTGTTTACAAATGTTTCCAGGGTTTTAAGCAGTTTAACTTAATAACCCCAGTAAAGCCTAAGCCTAAAGGTCACACATGTC